TCAACTTCTTCTTCCTCCTCTCTTCTTCCCTCACCTCACCTCACCTCACCTCACCTCACCTCACCTCACCTCACCTCACCTCACCTCACCTCACCTTTCCTTTCCTTTCCTTTCCTTTCCTTTCCTTTCCTTTCCTTTCCTTTCCTTTCCTTTCCTTTCCTTTCTTTTCCTTTCCTTTCCTCTTCTCTTATAAACTAGTCGTTAGATTCTAGAAGAACCAAGTTGTTATTGTTGCTGTTGTTTTTGTTGTTGTTGTTGTACCCTTTCGTTCGATTCAGAAATTCTCTTGAAAACGATATATCGATAACGTTGTCAACGAAACCAACAACTGTTGTTCAAATCATTGCTATTAAATCTAAACGATAATGTAATACATCTCTTTTTTTTATTTATTAAATTAAATTAAATTTTTTCTTGATATTTCCTTTATGGAAAAAAAAAGATGATCGTTAGGGAAAGATAATTAAAACTTGAACATAAGATGATGAGACTTATGTGAAAAAAGTATATTAAACGTTTTTGAATATATATTTTTATAGTAATTAATATACGAATAACTTAAAGATTATGATTTCTATTACATAAATAAAGTCATTTATTTATTAATCGTCAAATCGACATTGAATAATCTCAGCCCTGATTGTCATAGATTATGATAAATTATGCTCGTTAAAATACGCGATAATCCTAAACACGATCCCTTTGAAAGTGGGGTAAAAATGTCTCTTTGGAAGCCGGTAGTTGTTGGTTGCTTACTACTACTACTACTACTACTACTACTTACTGGGACTCCTCTTCCCGATGAACGTCACGTAGCTCATAAATATGTTATAAAATCGCATGAGGAGGACTATGGGGGGACATAGGGGAACAGTGGGGGACAGGGGGATGGGGGAGGGGGCTGTGTGGCGCCTAAGACAAGTCTGTCGTGTTCTCTCGTACTTGTTGTGTGTTAGTTGTCTTCATGGTTGTTGTTATTGTTATTGTTGTTATTGTTGATGATGATAATGATGATCATGATTATGATGATGATGATAATAATAATGATAATGATGATGATGGTAAGATGCCTCCGACTAGTGACTCTGTAAAAATCAAAGTATTAGAAAGAGAAAGATTATCATTGAAGAAGGTGGTAGGGATGTAAGAAACACACGGTCGTGTGTGCATTGGTGGTGGGTGTTTCCGAGTAGAAGAACGGGGCTCCCAGGGACGAATGAAACAGGGCAGGTGCGCGCAGGTGCCTCGAGAGAGAGAGAAAGAGAGAGACTCGACCGGAAACTCCTTGGGAGGAGACCCGTCGATTTCGAATCTCCAAACGATACGCTTCGTGGCAACGATCGGTGTGATCCATTTTTGTTCATTATTTATTTTAAATAAATCGGATATTATAATCAGTCGAATTTTATATCATTTTAAATTAATTATTTTCACGTTATCTTTTTTTAATTTTATACCAATTCTAAATGTTTTAATTTATATATATATATATATGTTTAATTTCTAATATATTATTTATTAATTAACATTAAACGTACCATGATTGGTCAAATGATCACGTTTTTTAATTTGTAAAGATGTAAATTTTAGGTACATATATAATATTATATTAGAGAAGTACTATATAGTATAATTATACTATATTATAATATAATATGTATGTATATTATTATCTAAGGGTAATTTGTGTGTGTGTGTGTGTGTGTGTGTATAAAAATTTCGGTAAAAAAGCATAAAATATATATTATTTATTTCTAAATAAAATAAGGTATACTTATTTACTGTTCAATTGGCTAAAATTTCATTCTATATGAAAACATATGTTTATTTCTTTTAAAGCAGTCATTTGATCGCTTACAGTAGGAATAAGTATATATTAAATCTCGTTACGTTTAGTGTTAATTTTATATATTTCAAATGAATTTAATTTAAAAAATATGAAAAAAAAAAAAAAATAAAAATAGAACATAAAAGTTAATTATAGAACAACTAAAATCTATTTAAAAAATAATTATAATATTCAGATAAAATGAAAACGATTGTTATACGATAGGTGTAAACCGGATAACGAATAATACCTTTTGTGATAATTAATAAAAGATTGTAATATAAATGTTAATACATATAATTTTACGATCCTGTTATATGTATATATATTTTCGAACTTTTAATAATAATTCTCGTGTAACTATTATTTCTTATTTATCGATAATTTTTCTTTCCAATTTTTAATTTCATCTATTATTTACGAAAACAACGTAATCATACATATATACATATATAACAAAATCTCGTATTATTATAATTAACGAATTATTGTAATTCTATACAATGTGTAACTCGCGATGTAATATACCTAATATAACCGAAGCCAAGAAATCATCATCGGTTATTCGCATCACAGATTATGTCGAGCGTGTGTCGGTAGTAAAAGAGAGAAAAAGAAAGAGAAAGAAAAAGACAGAGGGAGAGAGAGAGAAAAAAAGAGGGAAGGGGACAACAGGCGGGAGAGGGGAGGGCAGAGAGAAAGAGAAAAGGTAGCAGGTATATACTATATATATATCGAATAAATAATGTATGAGAATGTTTCTCAGTTGTGTTGTTTTCCACGCGAACGTTTGCAACGATTCTACGTGCCTCGAATCATTATTTCTATCGATTCCTCGTCGTCATCTTATTTCGTTATCAAGATGAAAACGATTTTTATCTATACTTCATCGTTTAACGATAAATATATACTTACACCCCTTTCCACTACCCCTATTGTATTTATTACGATAAACCTTTATTTATTATTTTAAACTTAGAAAATTTGTTCTTTTCTCGAGTATTTATAAAAATAACCTAGGATTAATTAAATAATAATATTAAATATTAATTTAATAATATTATAATATTATTTATTAATTAAAAAAATAATATTGAATATATATTAAATAAAATAAAATAATATTAAATATTAATTAAAAAATAATATTGAATATTACTTAAATAAAATTATGATAATAATATTAAATATTAATAATTTAATTGATTTTTATTCCGATTATTATTATTATTATTATTATTATTATTATTATTATTATTATTATTATTATTATTATTATTATTGTTATTGTTATTGTTATTGTTATTATGTACGATACATTCAATATGGAAAATCAAAATTGGAATAATACTTTACTAAATTGCAACAAGAAAAAATTAACTTATAGTATTGATTTGTAAGTTTAGACAATTTTATAGTAATTGTTTTCTTATGTTTTGTTTTTTTTTTCTTTTTCCAGGCAAATTGTACGCAGCATTTGGAAAAAGACAAGGTCGTATTATTTCCGCTGAAAATACTTTGGGTTTCGGTGGACAATTTCGTGTTCTTGCTTCGTTACCGGTTCCTGAAAGCTTTCAACTTGCGAGAGAACTAAGAACACAAACGTCCGGATTGGCGAGTCCTCAGCTGGTTTTTAGCCATTGGGAGGTAAGATGACCACTATAAACCTAGTAAAAAGATAGTAATAGGAAGATCAGATCTGCCTAACCAAAGATATATATATATATCTTATATTTTTTAGAGACAAAAATCAGTACACATGAAAGTTTGATGATGAATATCTTTTAAACGCTTAATTTAATCGCCAAAACATAAGACACCATTTTTATAGAGCAGTAAATATCCTACAAAAATTTGTATTGTGCACTTTTTAATAGTCATTTATTGTCGAGTTATAAAATTCATAAACAAAAATAAAATTTGTCTAAAAATCATCAAATTTAAATCTTCAATATCATTCAAATGGTGAGATTTATGGAAAAAATATACGATACCTTTTTTGTAGAGCATTAAATTTCCTACAAAATTCGTCTAGAATATTTTTCTGTGCAATCAATAAATAATGAGGTATGAATTTTAATCTATTGGACTGAAAAAAAAATAACAAACTGCGATGCGGAGGATCTTCCTATTAAAATTAAAAACTCATATTTGGTGAGAATTGTTTTAAGGTGTCTAGGAACCCATTTTTCCGTGGCACTTAAAAAAAAAAAAAAGTCATTTTTTTGACCTACCCTAATATATATATATATATATATAAACCCATCTAACAAGGCGATTAATAGTTTGATAAATATTAATCGATTGATAGAATAAAATTACGAAATAGGAAAATGAAAATATTAATTTCAAATAAGTCCCTAATAAAAATAACGGCATAACGGCAGCCCTCCAATCCTAAATCTAAAGTATCAAGAAGTCAATATTCTCCTTTGTTTTAACCCCTTTTTATTTACCAGGTGGGATAGGTAACAAAGAAAACACTCGAGTATCTCGTATCATATATACATATTCGAGAGACTAAATTTCGTTTAGAGATATATTTTCTTTTTCTTTCTTTCAGTCATAAATACTTCAAAAGTACTATGATAAATGAAATTTCTCTGCGTGTATTATGTAATGATCTAACCACGAAGATATACAAATGGGGAAAGGGAATCGGGGAAGGGGAAAATATAGTCCTCGTTAATCTCTTAAGAATTGCTTACAGAAAAGATTTCTGTTATTTGATAAAATCTAAGAATAAGATGAAAAGATGATAGAAAAATGAAGGGAAAAAATGAAAAAGGAAAAAGGAAAAAGGAAAAAAGAAAAAGGAAAGGAAAGAAAAGGAAAAGCAGTAAGGTTAGTTCGAACGAAGTTGAAAAGTATTAAAGGGGCCCTTGATTATGAAAGTAGGAAGAAGAGGATAAGGAACGAAAGAGAAGAGAAGAGAAGGGGAGAGGAGGGTGTCAGAATCTTTTTTTCCGTCTTATGGTTGAAATTTTTCGGTATAACTTTCAAACCCCTGGCGTGCTATTATTCCTTGTACAATGAGGACGATCGACCGGTGACGGGATGACAATGAAGAAAGAAGGACTATACTTCGCAGAAGAACCACCACCAACCACCACCACCACCACCATCACCATCACCATCACCATCACCATCATCATTACCACCAGCCCTTTACGATGGGACATATAAAACTTTTGATAGTTGATAGGACAGAGTTTTTATGGTGGGAGGGAGGTGAAGAGGGAAGAGGCCCCCCTCGAAGATTTCTTAGCTCGCTTATCTTCTTGAAAATGTCTTCTTCCTACAAAAGAAGTCAAGTTCTCACCCCACCCTCTAACAACAACAACAATACACCGACAAACCAAGCACATCATCGTAGTTATTTCAAAATTCAAACTTTTATTTATAGAGCATGCAAAGTATGGTTTTTTTTTTTTTCCAAGAAAATGCTATTATTATATCGTTGACCATAGGTAAATCTTTTGACGCCGTTTCGTGGACTCTGAAAAAGAAACACTTCTTCTCTTTTTTATTCTTACTTCGTTTTACACGATATATACACATTCTTGGTTATAAATTTTATATAATTTATAGTTTCTATTATTTCTGACTTCTCATTTTGTTTCTTTTTATTATAACGTTTGGTACATCTCTATTTTATTATTTGTCTTTTTTTTCGAGAAAAATTTCCTCCTTTTTATTTTTAACATTCCCCCCTTCCCTTCGTTTCTTACGAGCGCGCGTATTTTGCAACTATTTTTTATTTATTTTTTTTTATTTTCCCGATTAATAAATAGATATTCTTTTTGTCACGAATAGAATATTTCAATTGGAATTAATAAAGATATTATTATATAATATTATTACGATGAATCAAAATTTCGTAAATTTATTTTCTTATAAATTGTATTATATAAACTACATAACGAATTGTTTTTGCAAAATTTACTTTAATAATATTACTTTCAAAAAAAAAAGCACGAACTTTTCTGATTAACGCTAATAATAATAATTAAAAAATAGTAAATTTAAATTTAACAGATCTAACGCATTAACTTTTTATACTAAAGATTAATTTGAATATATATGCAGTTCTATGAAAAAACTTTTAATAACGTTTAAATGAAGATAAAAATCTTGTAAACGATAAGATTTATATTCTACTACGACGACTTTAACACTAGATATACCACTATTTTCTATTCTACCTATTTCTACCACACTAGTCAAAATGACTGGTGTATAAAAAAAAATGCTCTTTGAGGCTTCCAGTCTTTATTTACTCTTAAAAAATAACAAAAAATGTTTAACAATAATAATTTTTATAGATAAATGGATTTATAGACATTTTTAAATAACAAAACGCTTAATTATTTATAGAAATCAAATGTTACATGAAGTAAAAATTTTGAATTAAAATGGCCCGACCAGTCAAAATGACTGGTCTAGTATATCTAGTGTTAAAACAAAAAAATCCATGCTAATGACGCGTTGAACAAAAAACAAGAAAAAAAAAACAAGTACAATTTTTTGTCTTTAAAAAATTTAATTGAATTGGAAATATAAATAAAGGGGAAAAAATAATTTCTCTTCCACGGTAGAATAGATAGATAGATAGATAGATGATTTTTGACACCGAGTGTCAAGAACGAACAAAAAAAGAAATAGAAATAGGGTGGGATAGGACGAAGAGAGGACAACACGCAAGTTAGTTCAGCGTAGTTCGGAAAGAGTTAAAAAAAGAAAAAGAACAGGTGGGAGGAGGAGGAGGGGTCTGGAGGAGGGAAAAAAAGGTGCGCGATTAAATCGGTGAAATTAGTACTTCCGTTCGGAAATTGAAGAAATAATGACGATAGTTAGAACCGGAAATCGTATATACAGGACGCGCTGCTGTTGGTGCTCCTCTTTCTCTCTTTCTATCTCTATCTCTCCACCATTATCATCTTTTGCTCGACTACCGCGAAGAACCGCTGCTGGTAAACAACCGAACGATGAGGAGGAGAGGGGGGAGGTAGAGGATGGTCATTTCTTTTTCTACGGACTCCCTGCTGCTGCTGCTGCTGCTGTGCTGGGTAGGAGAAGGAAACTATCCCTACCATCATCATCATCTTTCTTCACCAGACACTTTTCTTAAACTAGTCGAAACGAAACGAAACGAAAGAATGAACTAATTATAAGGATAAAAAAAAAGAAACCATTTAAATTCGAACACTATGAACCTAACGAGAAAGATTGAGAGAGAAAAAGGAACAACGGAAAAAAAAATATATATACATAAAGATAGAAAAGTATGAAAAATATAAAAGTATTTTTGATCGTCTCTTTAAAATAAAATCGAATAAAAAAAAATCCTTTTTGACCCTCGGCACCCCCTCCCCGTGCCTCAGTTGTTACCATTTTGCATATAAAAAGAAGAAGAAGAAGGGATCGTGAAGTATAAAAGATTATATTTTAGAGTATTTTTCATCGTTCTATATAAATTTTTTCTAAGTAAATTTGGAATTAAAAAGTACCCCTACCCCTCACTACTTCTTCAGTTGTTATTATTTTACATAGAAGATGAGAATCGTGTTGTAGGATTTTATTAAAATTCAGATGTAACGGAGGGGAGATAGGGGAAGGGTGAGAAAGGGTTTGGTATACACGTTGTTGTTAACTTGTAACGCGAGAAATCAATCAAAAGTATCGTTTCGCAGGAAAACTGAGATGACTATATAGACTTTATATATGTACTGTATATTAATGGTGGATACACTAAGAAAGGGGAGAAGGAAAATAAATGATGGGATGGTTTAACAACGTCGCCGCAGTGCTGCAGTGGTATTTGGTTTGCTGGTTGTTGAACATAATATTCCGAAAACCTACGAAAACAAATCTGGGCTTGAAACAAAAAGTTCTATCTACCATATGTTGTGTTGTGTTGGGTGACGCGAACATGTCGTCCGTCTTTTACCATCTTTCTTCGTTGTGGTGGTTTGTTGTGTTATAAAGAGGGAAAACTATAGTCCCTTCTTGCGGACTCCCTCGAACTCGATTCCACGGGCTATAGATTATCCTTCTCGTTTGCTTCGGTCCGCACCAGGTGTCCGCATCTTATAAATTTCAATACGAATAAAAGAGAAAGAGAAAGAAAGAAAGAAAGAAAGAAAGAGAGAAAGAGAGAAAGAGAGAGAGAAATGTATATATATATATATGGTAAGTAAAAAAGAGAGGAGGAAGGGATGGGATGGAAGGAAGGAAAGAAACGAAGAAAGGAAAAAAGAAAAAAAAGAAGAAAAAAGAAAAGAAAGAGAAACGACGAACAACGTATCCGTAAAAAGTGAAATAAAAAAAAAAGAGAAAATATGTAAAAAAGAACTCTAAGGGTGCAAAAAGGAACAAAAGAAAAAAGAGAACAAAATATAAAATCACCTGCACCGATTTTCATCCGTAGGTTTTCTTTTCTGCGAAATAAGAAGAAGAAGAAGAAGAATATGAAGAAGAAAAAATAGGAGGCACAAAAATATAACAATCGTATCTCTTATTTTTTCTACTAATCTCTGACACATTGTATTATTAATAATAATAAGGAATAATAGTAATAATCAAAATTGTCTTGTGAATGCATGAAGCGTTGTGTTGTGAAATAATACGTCCCACGGATATATCTTTTCGTTCCTCCTCGGGTCTTCCTCCTCTTCCTGGTGCGTCTTCGTATATAACCGAAGGATAGGTATACCCTGTGACGGAATTTCTTAACGTCCGGTTAACAGCTAGGATGGAATGACATTTTTTTTCTTTTTTTACCTCCTTTTCTTTCTTTCTTACCTTTTAGGGTCTTCTTCTTCTTCTTCTTCTTCTTCTTCTTATAAAACGAGAACCGATGAAGTGTTTCCAGAAATTAAATCGACTTATTCAAAATGGCCTCAAATAATAAGAAATAAATCTATGTTAATAATTGAAATTATTTCCTCCTCATTATTTCTTTTTCTTTTTGTAGGGTCTTCTTTTCTTGGTAAACGTTAACCATTAGAATTTATCTAAACATTAGTAATACATATTTGATTGTTTTTTTTTTAATCTAGTTTTTACTTTTTTATTTATGTTCCAGGTAATCGAACAAGATCCATTTTGGGTACCATCCACGGAAGAAGAATACCTTCATTATGGCGAAAAAGCAGACAGTGAAAATCGTGCGAAAAAATACATTGACGCAGTAAGACGTCGAAAAGGTCTTCCCGTTGATTCTCAACTAGTTACTCATGGAGAAAAACAACGAACTTTGTCCAAGAAGAAATAAGAAGAATGTTTAAATAGATTTATCTATCCTCTCCATTACAAAGTCGGTTAGATTAGAAAATTATTGTACTATAATTTTTTTTAATATTGTAAGTTTTGTAAAAAAAAAAAAAAAATTAGTTATATATCTATATTAGGTCATTCCGAAAATTTCTTGCTAAGATAAGTTGCATAATATTGTATGCGTAATATTTTGTATGTTATTTTACTAATAAATTAAAATTAAAAAAAAAAAAAGAAAGAAACTTTTGGGACGACCTAATATATATACATCTTTATCGTTTTTATTAGTTGTAATTCATTATTTTCTAAATGTTTTTAAATGACATCATGAAATTAAGACAATCTTAAGTGTATCTTCGTTTATTTACATTTTATTTTATATTTTCGACATTTACATAAACTTACATAATTCGACATTTACATAAAAGTTTAATCATTTTTTTTACCTAGATATAATTAGAATTTATTTCTTTGATAATAAGAATGTATCAATTGTGTGTATATATGTATATATGATGTATATATATGTATATACATGTTAACATATAATGAAAGCTCAGTGTGAACTACTCGACTAGTAACATTTATTTGTATTTAGTATTACTAGTAACTGAATGTATTAGTTTAACCTATAGCATATTTTAAAAAAAATTACAAAAAATGAACAACGTCTCATCCATTTATTTCTTCTTCTTGAAATAAATAAATTAATCATGGAATACAATTATGTGTACGAAAATTGTTCTTAAGCGAAGAAATAAATGATGTTGAACCGTCCTAACGAACATAATCGCTTTCCGACGTAGAAAATCACTGATCAAAGCGAAGTAAGTGATGAGCTTATAAAATTATTCATTTCCCGTCACGTCTAGTTGTTCTATGTCCGTAATCTTTTCATTTGTTGTAAGTGATAATATTGTACAAAGAGTATTATATTCATTTAAATTTCTCTTTTAAATTCCCACACTAAAAAGAAATCATCTCTTTGTATCTCATATAAGAATAAGAATTAATTTATGTACACAACGTCTGTTCAAATTTCAATTATAAATTACATACAAATTATTCGTCATCGAAAACAATTTTTTTCCCTTGGAAACCTTGCTTTAAAATTTCTTGTTGTTTTTTCTTTGCCGCCCAAGACGGATGTAAATTTTCATTTTCATTTTCATTGGAATTTTTATTCACGATGACATTTTTATTATGACTTTTTGTATCTCTGAATGATGAACCATTATTATTAGTTTGCTTTTTAAATAAACTTTTGTCCCTATTAAAATTATTGTCATTGTATCGATTTTCTTCCTGTCTTCTCTTTCTTCTTCTTATATCTTCAGAAGATTTTACATCATTACTGAAAAATCTATCGTTAGCGAATGTTCTTTTATTATTATACTGTTTAGATTTGTTGTTTTTATAAAAGTTATCATCTTTTTCCAATGACGAATAATTATCATCATTCGTTTTCAATGGTGCCAAACTAAGATACTCATTTCCATCCCCGCTAACGAAAAATGGATCAACTATCTTCTCAGATTCTAACTTATTCTTAGAAATTTTCTTATCATTTACCTTCAAAGAATTGTTTTCTTCCGAATTTGGTTCCTGTAGAATATCTACAAACCTTTTAACTGTTGCCTCTTTACTAATAACTTTAACTGTATCTTTTTTCTTATCTATCTTAGATATTTCTTCTTTTATTCGTGCTTTTTTGACATTCTTGTTATCGTTATTATCGTATTCTTTTATAGATTCAGTTATTTCCTTTCTATCCCTTTTCAAATGTTTATTACTACTATCTTTTTGTTCGATTTGTTCAGAAATCGTGGGTTCTATTTTGAGAATACTTTCTGCTTCTGAATGTTGTTCTCTTTCAAAAAGATTATTACCTCCGGTTTCTGTTTCTGACAGAACATTATTATCTTCCTTTTCTGATTTTACACTTTTATCATCCGTTTCTGATTTTACACTCTTATCATCCATTTCTGTTTCTACATCACTATCTTGGTTGTCAGAATTTAATCCATTTTCTACAAAACTTTCAGCGACTTTGCTACTATTAAACGTTTCTCTTTTTACTGTTATTTCCTTCTCATCTTGTTTTTCAAATTTATCATTTTTCTTCGCAGATTTATTTTTTCCAGGTTGTAAATGTTCCTCATAATCGGGATACTTCTCGCGAAATTGAGTTATGGCATTTTTTAACAACTTGTGTTCCGTTATTCTAGCCATTATACGAGTATTTACTTTAGATTTTTTACTTTGTAAAATTTCTTGTAAACTCTTTTTATTATTAATGCCAAATTTGGTAATATTATCATTTTTCAACTTTTTCAAAAAGTGTATCTCGTTAATCAATTTGTCAGCTTTCTTTTTGTTTTTTTCTAGTTGTTTCTCAGTCCCTTTTTTTCCACGTAATGTTTTGGCTTCTCTATTCAATTTATGAATTACACATACCCTGGCCTGCTTTACTAATTTTCGCATTCGAACAATCTGTGATAAACATATAAACACGTGTTTTTGTAAAAGTTCAACAAACTTTCATAACCTCTAAATTATTTCTTATATGAATAAGTTATTATAACTTACCTCGTCATTAATTTCGATTTTTCCCATCGTGTAACTTTTTTTTCTTCTTAAATTGTATATATATATATATATATATATATATATATATAATATTTAATATTAAATAATTTAATACTTTTATTTATAAATGAAATAGAAGACTTATAAACTCATTATAAATGTTAAGAAAAAATGCAAAATAAGAATGCATGTTAGCGCCTCTGACGGTACATAATCTAAACTAAAAATTTACTGTTGTCGATAAAAATACTGATAATCGCAAATAATATCGAATTTAATATCATTATTTATCCGCTAGATGGAATTAATTTAAATTATCAAATTAAAAGGAATCTGCCATCAAAGTTTCAATTTAACAAATTTTCTTGATTAAATAATAAACAAACAGTAAAGTTTTAATAAAATATTCAAAGAAAAAAATTAAATGATGAAATTACTTGTAATTTTGCATCATCACATATGATATCTTACAACACGCATATAGGTAAAATATATTTAATTCTTATTAAAAAAAATAGAATATATTGTTAAATAAACAATACAGTAAAACTGATCGATATAGATATATTTTTTAGATAATATAGACACCTGATGATAATTAACAAGGAAAGTACGTAAAGTTAAAAGAAAATAATTAATTTAGCTCGTGCATTTTATTTAAACGTGCACATTAATTACATATAAAGTTGTTCAGTAGATAGCGCGTTGGTCAACGATCATACGTATACATTCATATATGTTTACAAAACTAGAAACGTTGGTAAAAAATATCATCGCAACATCTTGCACTGTTTTCGTTCAAGATAGAGGTAAATTATGTAATGTATTAAGTTTAACAAAGAAATTTGCAAACAATCATCATTAGGAATGCAGTTGGATGATTTGCGGTACTATCTTTGACCTTGAACTGTATTTCTTTTCCTTCTCATAAGACATTAGCCTGTTTTGTCCTGCGTGCATGATGTGTCAGATATTTGTATGATTTTATTTTTGAAACAAATTTACCTTTATTATTGATCGTTCATCGATAGATTCGATTATTTGCAATGACATTTGTCAAATCGTTCGAAATATTTTTAAATTGTTTTTTAATCCGATGAAAGTTATATTATCATCTATAAACATATTTATATACGTGCGAAGATCTATAAGATTAGTAGCTGCTCTATTATCTGTTGACGTGTAATTCGTGCAGTGTATTATTTTTGTTTCTGTCATCTAATGTTATATATTGTCATTTACGCAGTTCACTTTTTCAAATATTAATTCTTCGCCATTAGATCTCTTTTTGTAAGATAATTAATAATATTATTACGATGTTAATTTACTTAGCGCATATATGTAGGTTATTAGTTAAATCAAAATAATATCTTCTCTAGAAAGATCTATCCTGTCGATTAAAAATAAAGGCAATTAATAACTGTATAATTTGTATTTTCATTAATATTGATCATTTAAATATTATAATACATAAGGTTCTTATATTTGTAGATCTCAATTTATACAGCAGTTAACACTGTATAATACATATTTTATTTTGGAGATATAAAATTGTAAGTAGTGATTGCTATAATGAGTTGTGTAAGATGTTGTTTGATCAGTGCTGGACGTCTAGCATCTTCCAATCATGTCAGCAGCCACTGTGAGTATAAATTTTAATAATATGTATATATCAATATTTAATAACATTTAACTATTAAATTTGATGGTTGTTTAGTTCACAAAATTGTCAGAGTCGTTGCTACTCGATCACTTACAACAAGTACAAACTTAGCTAAGGCTCCAACTGAATCAGTACCACCTAGTAAAAGTGGTGGTAGTACAACATCCGGAGCATCAGGATCTGGTGGAGATAATGGTAAAAAAGATTCTCTTATTTGCCCAAAGTGCGGAGACCCTTGTACGCATGTTGAAACTTTTGTATGTAAGTATAAATTCTTTTTTATCTTTATTTTATTTCTTTTGATTTTTAAAAATAATCAATAATATTAACACACAAATTTTTACTTTCTTTAATAGCATCAACGAGATTTGTGAAGTGCGAAAAATGTCATCACTTTTTTGTAGTACTGTCCGAAGTAGATTCGAAAAGAAGTTTGAAAGATACGTTGAGACCTGACATGGATTCCAAACATGGATTTTATAGAAAACCACCTCCACCTCCTAAAAAAGTGATACAATATCTCTTAATAAAATTAAATATTATTATTAATTATATAGTACTATATAATAATACTATTAATGAATAATTTCAGATCTTTGAATATCTGAATAAGCATGTTATTGGTCAAGAATTTGCTAAAAAGGTACTCAGTGTTGCTGTATATAATCATTATAAACGGATATATAACAATTTACCAGCACAGAGTGTTCAACCTAATACTGGTTCAGTTGGTTCGCAAGAAATGAATCATCCGTTTACTCATAGAGGTCTTAAACCACGTAAATAATATTTGTTATAATTATTTATTATTGTTCTAATTTAGAAAGTATTTTTATTTGTAATGTAAGAAATTGTGGGACAAATATTTAAAAGCTTTTTCTTTTCTTTTACTTTTTTTTTTTAGATTTATTGCACATATCTAACGTTGGAAATTCATTAGGAGTCGGATATCAAAATATTTCTGGTAGTAATGATCAACAAAAAGGATCGAATCAGTCTTCACCTGGATCGGACATTTTAGACAGTCAACAACATCAATTGAAGTTAGAAAAAAGTAATATTCTATTGTTTGGACCAACTGGTTCGGGAAAAACTTTGTTAGCGCAAACAATAGCTCAATGTTTGGATGTACCCTTTGCAATTTGTGATTGTACTACACTGACACAAGCAGGATACGTCGGAGAAGATATAGAGAGTGTTATAGCTAAACTTTTGCAAGATGCCAATTATATAGTGGAAAGAGCGCAAATGGGTATTGTATTTTTAGATGAAGTTGATAAAATAGGTGCTGTTCCTGGTATACATCAATTACGAGACGTCGGAGGTGAAGGTGTACAGCAAGGAATGTTAAAAATGTTAGAAGGTACTATTGTCAATGTACCTGAAAGAAACAGTTCTAGAAAGCTTAGGGGCGATACGTTGCAAGTGGATACAACAAATATACTTTTCGTTGCATCTGGTGCTTACAACGGTTTAGACAGACTTATCGCCCGACGAAAGACTGAAAAATATTTGGGCTTTGGCGCGACGCCTCCATCTAAAAGTCCAGGAAGAAGAGCTGCCAGTCTTGCGGATGTAGCCAATATGTCAACATCTGCGGCAACAGACAACGAAGAAAAAGATTTGTTATTGCAGCAAGTAGAAGCGCGAGATTTAATAGACTTTGGTATGATTCCTGAATTTGTGGGAAGATTTCCAGTACTTGTACCTTTCCACACTTTAAACAGAGATATGTTAGTTCAAATTCTCACCGAACCGAAAAATGCTATGGTTCCTCAATACCAGATGTTATTTTCTATGGATAAGGTACATATAAATATCTCTGATGTAATTATATACATATTTGAACATAATTTAGTATAAATGAACTCTCATTACAGGTGGAATTAACATTTACAACCGATGCTTTGAGCGCCATAGCAGCATTAGCCATGGAAAAGAAAACAGGTGCAAGAGGTTTACGAGCTATAATGGAATCTCTACTTTTAGAACCTATGTTTGATGTACCAGGAAGCGATGTAATGTCAGTCCATATAACAGAAGCATGTGTACGTGGCCAAGAAAAGGCACAATACATAAGAAGAGGTGAGGCAACGGAAGAGGAATTACAACAAGCGCAACATGTACAAAACTAGCAAATAATTAAAGAACAAGAGACTAGCATATAGCTGTTTTAATGCTATATCAGTACTGTCTCTTGTAAATATTTAAATGATATAAATCCAATATACAAATTTAAATGAAATTTGATGAATCAAATAATTTTCAGATAATAAAAGAACATTACGATTTTTAGATAGAAAATATATAATGTACGAACTTTTAACTGAAAGTAATTACATACATACACAAACACATATACACACAAATAAAAAAGAAAAAAAAGAAGTATTTATATTTTAATTAACTGTAAAATAGTTTCACAAACAAAGAAATAAATCGATAAAATATTTTATGTGATAACTATGTAATTGGAGCTTAATTATATTTAGACACAAATATTCATTAAATTTGATTTTAGATGCAAATAATATTCCAAATACGGAATACTGAGAAATATATTATAACAGATGATGAAGCATTCCATAAACATCGATGTACATATGCATTTTATGAAACATCTTAAATTCTGCCAAATTTATTTATTCTATCTTAGATTAACTTATACATTCATCGCCTGTTATTTTAATGAAATCTAATTAATAAATCAATATTAAGTTATCACATATTTGTTTAGTCATCAATATTTTTTTTGCGAAATTTGGAAACAAGAAAAACATTGTTATTGTATTGAAAAATTAATTAGCGTAAAGATACAACAAAATTAAATACTACTTAAAAAATAATTTTTCAAGTAAAGTACAATATTTCTATAAAAATAAAATATAAAATTTTAACGTATCTGTAATTTTGTTCAAGAAATAATTATTTATATTCTATATATTAACATAGAAATTAATTGTAATATATTGTAAATAGAGTAGGTAGAATTAGTGAACTATAGAAATCTTACGATTGAAATTAACTAACAATGATATAAATAATACTTTTTTTTGTGATTAGATACTACCGTAAATATTAAATAAAACCAACACAAAATATTAATAGATAACCTTTCTATACTATTAATTTTATTTAGTTTTATACTCCTATTAAATGATAATCTAGAAGAACTGCTTTTTAGAATTATCTTATTTTTGTGAAATTATTATTAATAATATTTCTAACAATATTTGGAAATATATTACCCATGTACGTGTGAAATTATATTAATTATTGATGCATTATTATATTATATGAAATTAGAATGGGCTGTGTACAATATAAAAATCTATGAAATGTAAAATATTTATCTATAAAAACGCAATATAAAATTTTATATATAATAATACATATATATATATATATATATATATATATATATATATATATACACATATTATTATATGTAAAATTTTATAAAGATTGTTATTATAAATAATTTATATTGTATGACCTGGTATTTGTAATAAATTCAATTGAAATATACATTATGTGTTACATTCATTTGAGTGATTTATCGATGGACTACTTAAAAAAAATTACATAAAGATTATAATGTCTATTAAATTTATTCGTTATTTTAAGGAATATTATTCTAGAATATGGCATGCACAAATAAATCGCAATTATTTAAGTAATCAATAAAAATATATCAAACTTTGATATATTATATTTAATTGAAGAAAATGTTTAATATTAATCAATTATTTTAGTTTGTAAATTTTAAACATTATCGATTTTATACCTATAAAATTAAAACCTTAAGAAGTTTAATATAATATATATTTAATTTTTTCTATAATGTTTTGTATATTTAATCACATATTTAATCATATAAGTACCTTATGGTTAAAAAGCACAAAATTTCATTTATATAATAATCATTATAGCACAATCTAGCTAATAAATTAATTACTAAAAATATTTCTTGTATATGTGAAACAATCTATATATATATATATAGAAAAAAAAGTATTCACATTGAATCTCTATGATATAAAATTTCAGACCGTGGAACTTGTTTATATTTAGGCTTGGGTCTCAACTTTGTTACCAGTTCCGTTAAAATCCATTTAGTTGCACGTAATACGAAAACGTATACTCCAAATTGTAATATAAGAGCTCCAAAACCTTTATATAAACCCAGTGGACCCTCGGTGGAAATAATTGTGCGATAACAATCAGTAGCACCGCTGTATCCTGTTAATAATGGAGTAACGCTCTTTCCAGTATCTAAATTATCTATAATAGTGCGTGTTCCTTGAAGATGCAAACGGTGAATAACAGTTTCTAAAGGATAAAATAATACATCTGCTGCGCACATAGAAATTGATATCGATTGTAATTCAATATCTTGAACTAATGTTTCGGATAGTAAATCACGACTATACGCTCCCTACAAAAATACATATATATCAATAAAAAAGAATGTTATATATATACAATATAGAATAAATTTTTCAAGATATTTTACCATGTATTCTTGACGTTGTTTATGTCTTATATGCATGATACGACTTGTAACGCCCCTTACAATAAGAGTAAAGAGATATTTAGTTACTCCGTAGGCTACAGTAGGCGGTAAAAGGGCATAAATGGGTATGAGTCTGCCTTTATTGCTAATTTCAACCAAACGTAAAGCACCATCTCGAAAAACATCTAAAATGCCAGGACTTTCAGATGCTATTTCAGATTGTACCGTTTCCACAAGTGAAGCAGAATAAAATGGAGTTACTATGCCTAGAGATACACTGTTAGATCAGTAATAATCATATTAGTTAAAAATAATATTTGAAAAATATAAAATAATATTTAATAAGTATAAAAAGTAATACTTGTTACCATTTTAGAAGTAGGTGCTGACCAAAAGCTTTCAACGAACTATTGCATGTTACTTCTCTGAAAAAAATGTATACTTTTTAACTTATATTTAATTTATACTTTTTACTTGATCCACTTATAATTATATATTGACTCTTTAATAATATATTCTTAAAGTTGCAAAAAGTAATATAAAATGATTAATTTTATACAGATTATCACCTTACTTTGGCCATGGTGTAACTTTAGAAATCAGGTCTTCGATTGCTAGAGTCATGCCTCTTACTAATAAGACAGAACCGATTCCCTTCCACAAAGTATTTAAACCTTGACTCTGATGTAATCGTACCATTAGAGGAATTAAAGAAAAGGGTACCAAGTGATACTTAGTAGATCCAGGATTGACTTGGCATTGTCGTCTTAGAACGATAAAAGGATGAATTAATAAATTCTCTGTAATTAAACCGACTAAACTGCATCCTAATACTATATATTTCTTTATTGCGACATCTAAAAGGATAAAAAATATATATTAATGTTACGGTCTTACGTAGAATAAGGAAATGTGTATTGAATAAGAAAATAAAAGAAAAAAGGAAAAGAAAACTAACCATCATCATGAGGCGGGCTATCTTCTGTTAAAGGATAAGGAGTTGATATATCCAAAGGATGAATAACATCATGTCCATGATACTTTTTTCGCAAATGATCTTTGTCATCCCGAGCCTCTATCAAACGTCCTCGATAAACCCTTTCGTAATTTTCCAATCCCGCCATTTTTTTGAACGGGTATTGTTAATTTTCTAATGTTTACCTATAATTGTTAATAAGTAATAACACAAAAACACAATGTCGACAGTTGATAGCTAGCGTCGACATTGGTGTCTAATTTTTATAGGTTAGAATATAGTCAAAAGTTCGATACAGTAAGATAATAATTAATTTGACCATTAATTATTATACTAAATCCAAATTAATAATAAGATACATTTTTCTTGGTTATAATGTATACTCTGCTTGCGTTCATTTTCTTCTAAGATATGCGATATATCGATTTCTACGTATAATTGTTTGCAGTTGGCTTTTATTCAATCGATAGATATCTATTATTATTAACAATTATTTGAATACGAAACAGAAAAGACTATTAAGAACTTTTAATAATTACGTATATATTATCACGTTCAAGTACGAATTCATACTAATTCGTTTTATGAATGTATACGTATATTTATCTATATATGAACCTATGTATCTATTTATTCGACATTGAAAAAAAATTACATGATGTGATAAGAAGTATGTAATATAACATATACAATTAATTGAAACTATCAAAGAAATTAATCCTTATCAATAATACATTTTTTTTTATTTTAAATTAAGTGCAATCTTTTTTCTCAGATCATAATAGATATTTTTTAAAATAAAATTATTTATATAATATC